TGTGTGTGTGTGTGTGTGTGTGTGTGTGTGTGTGTGTGTGTGTGTGTACCAACTTGATTATTGATTATTAACTACCAAAATCTTACTAATTTAGTTTATCGACTCAATTCAACTAACTAATTTTCGAAATAAAATGTTTCTAACAACACTTTTTCATAATTAATAACATTCCATTACACTTAAATTATATAGGCAAATATTACATAACTTTACAAATATTAAATGTCTTCATGATGTCAATAATATTACTGAATAATAAAACTTTAAAAAAAAAAATTGATCAATTTAATTTAATTAACTTACTGCGTAATATAAACTACATATATAATATTACTTTTTCAGAAATTGTGTATAAACGTGTAAAGAAAAAGCGAAATATAAAAATTGTTGTGTGTTTTCGAATTATGTAGTAGTCAATAGAATTTAAAAGTTATAATTAAAAGCTAAAATGTGTATTTAAATGGTTATAAAACTATTATTATAGGATGATAATGACTAACAAGTTAATTATTAAATAAATACTACCTATGGGCTATGTCTCATAATTTATAATAAAATTGTATGAATGATTTTTTTAAATTACTTTTCTTCTATAAAATGCTTAATTTATAGCAATAACTAGATTTCAAATAATATCTCATAGTAAAACCAATAATATTCTGTTAAATTATAGAAAATAAATTGATGATAACTGATGATAGTTAAGAATATACTTAATAGATGTACCTAATAGATATTTGAAGTATGCGGCGAGCCTCATATGCACTTACTTTTTATTCTAATCACAATTTTCATAAATAAAAATGTTTTATTAAAAATATTTTCATATCATTTTATAATTTGTATTAAATATTTATTAACAAAAACATGAAATTGTATGTCAACTAGGAATTTTTAAAACACAATACAATAAATAATAATATCTATAGTGAAAATTTTCAAAATATAAATATACATTTTAAAGTATTTATATTTTTATTGTTAATTTTTCAAATTTTATTTGAAACATGTAATTAATCATCAAATATGCTTAAAAAAAAAAAAAAATAGTAAAATTGAAAAATCGAAAAATATGCTTTAAAACTATAAAATCACTAAATATGCAAAAATATGCACTATAAACTTTTAATATTATTTTCTTAATATCATCAAATTGATTTTAAGCTTACTTAACAATAAATCTAACAACCTAAAAACAGATGCAAATGCAATGACTTCCGAGCCCCACTTATTACCTACCGCAGTAATGGTCATAACCAGGGCTAGGATTTGTATGCAACAGCATGTTTTTTTGCGACTCTGATTATTGATTTTGTCAGTAATGTCCACGAATCATCTCATGATGAGATAAATGGTGGTGTTTTTATTTTGCATGTTTTTGCATATTTTTGATAAAATGCATATAAAAGTATATATTGAATAAAATGAATTTTATTGCATATTTTGATTATGAGAACGCGAAAAATGCATGTTTTATAGTATATTTCGTAATTAATATTTATAATTTACACATAAATTACGTGAAATGTTTTCAAATTTACCTTTACCTCCAAAAACAGTGTTGACACAATGGGCAACGTGGTTGACTGCAGTAACGTATTATGTAGATAATTTTAATTAAATTAAATCTGTGATCTCAGAAGTAGATGACGAATTAAATTCGATAATAAAAGCTAAAGAATTATTTGATAATCAAAATTTAAAAAATGATTTGGCATATATTAAAAGAAATTTTTGCTTTTTATCCCAAGTCATAATTAAACTACAAAACAAGAATTTAACACTTCGTGAAAGTCTACAGATTATAATAAACGCTAGGGATCGACTTCTTGAGTGTAATGGAAGAGTCGCAGATAAAGTTAAGAACAAATTGTCCTTGATTTTACAAAAAAATAAAGGATTTAAAACTCTACAATCAATAAATAAAATATTAAATAGTGAATCGGATGAGGACAATTTCAGTTGTAACCTAACACCAGGACAAATTTCTTTACTTTAATATAGGCCAACTACATCATGTGACGTTGAACGGAGCTTCAGTCAATACAAAGCCATTATACGATCCAATCGCCGATCATTCATTTTCGAAAATTTAAAATAATATGTGGTCGTAGCATGTAACATACGCAGTGAATGTGAATTATAAATTTTATTTCTAAATTATTTTATTTTTCAATTATTTTTTTTATATTATATTAAGATTTAAGACAAACAGCCAACCACTGATGTATTTCAATAGATAAATAGTTTTTTTATAACTATATTTATATTTTTGTGTTTATCTAACAAAAATTAAAATGCATATTTTTGCATATTTTGGTAAATAAAATTCATATTTTACAATTTTTTATTGCATACAAATCCTAGCCCTGGTCATAACTCATAATATCTGCATTTGATAAACGCGTAAGTCGCAAGTACCTAATTTCAAAAATATTTATTTTCAGCTAGTTTGATTTATTGGTTAAAAATGTGATTTAAATGATAAGCTTACAAACCATACGTGCATATTGACATTACTTTTTTTTAATTATTATTTAGAGGAGATCTTAGAGATCTTTTGTAAACAACATGACGTGTATAAACAATTTTTTACGCGTTTCAGTTTTAAATAATCTTGTTAATACATATACTACATATTATTTAATATTTAAGTCATACAAATACTAACCAATGAGTACGAGCAATACGTGCATACGAAAGACACAAATACTGTTGCAAATATACCCATTATAAGCCCCGAACATTGAAAAGCCAACGGCATGGCCAGGATGCCGGTCCCTAGAGACGCTTTGAGTAAATGAGTCAGGGTCTCACCGTTCCTGCAAATATTTAAATAATTAATATCGAGTAATAGCGTTTAATTATTCGTGCGTATACAGATGTCAGTTATTGATACGGCCCTAAACTTAATGTATCTATAGTTGTTGAATTCATATTCATATGATAAGTACCTACCAAAGAATAACAATGACAAAATTACGTTGGTATTGAAATATTTACATACCATATAAAATGTGTATATATACACATATATACATAGCCTATATAGATTGTGTAAATCTAGATTAAGAATATTTAATAGTAACATTTTCAGTAACAAAGACAAGAAAAATACAATTTGTTTAGAATTTTTATCATTTCTTTTTTTGCACTAAATTAAAAAAATTAAAAAAAAATAATAGTTAAAATAAATATTATTAATTATTACTTATATTTTTTCCATTGTTTCTAAAATCATTTTTTCTTTTTTTTTTTTTTGTGGTAATTATTAAATGTGTATATTATACAATCAACTCAGTTATATTTATTAGAGTTTTTAATCTAAAAAATATTAAAATATGTAACTTTTAAATCAAATAATATACAAGTTATAGGTACATACAATTTTTTTGTTTTTATGTAATCATTGTTTTAATTCTAAATAAAAATATATACTTTAGAGCAAAACTACAAAATTGCATCACGCTGATATTGTTTTCAGGCTTCTAATGACTAAAAGCAATCCTGTTATAAGTAATTAGTAGTACACTACTACACTCACGTGGTTGGGTGTTCCAAATTTCTTTCAAGAAACGGATCAAAGTCACCCTTTTCTTGATTTCTTAAAGTTTTTTGTCTGAAATAAATAAATATAACAAATTAAAATAAACACATAATATTATGATTTGTTTATATTATTATATGTAATGGTAGGGAAGCAAAACTTTTTTTTTTTTTTTAGTAATTTACGTTATTGATTGAATTAAAATGATAAAAAAAAATTTAATTTTACCTTAAAAATAAAAAATGTTTAAACTAATATTATAATACCTTAAAAATGTACAGTAGAACATTTTATTTTATTTTTTAAGTTCACAAAGTAATAAACATATAATTTAATAATATCATTATCTATCCTGCATACAGGTAAATATAGTACATATACTATATACAATTATCACATATTTAAGACGGGGCATTAACTAGTTAAAAAGTTTAAATTAAGTTAAAAAAATAATTGTTTTTAAACCTTTTAGCTTAACTAGTTAATTAATTATTTAACTTGACTAGTTTAATTTACTGTTGAAATAACCTTTAATTAATTGATTTAAAAGTAATCCATCAAGTTAATAAAATTAAAATGTTTTTAAAATTTTGGTTTTTATAATTTTATACATACATTATTATTTATAGTATATTATAGTTTTAAATAAAAATAACCCAATACCATAATAATAATAAAAAATGCAATCATTTCTGTTAAGTTTCTTGATAAAATAATATTTAAATATATAGATTATAGATAGGCATAATTATACAAAATATATATTTAACAATTAGTTTTTATATATTTTAAATTTCTTAGTTTTTCAAAGAAATGTGAAATTTTCATTTTTTTTTTTTTGGTATTTCTCAGTAGTTATCAAAAAAAATAAATATTTGATTCTTCAAAAAGCTTAAAAATGTAATACAAGGTTGAAGATTCCTCATGTTAGTCATACTTAATACTGTAGTAAAGTAGAAATTTTCATAATATAATGGATCTCCAATGACGCTTTCATATTTCAAAACATTCACACATACTCGTAACATATAAATTACATACTTTTAACGGCCTTAACGTAAAATCATATCTCAAAGGTAAGTAAAAAGTGCGAAATGTTTGTTGTAAAATTATTTATTCACATGAATGTTATTGTATATAATATTTCACGGGAATATGTCAAAGTCAAGTAAACCTCAGCAAAACATAAACTACCCACGATATTTGAACAAAACGTAATGTTTCGATTTTCACCTAGGCAAATCTATTTTGTGCTCAAGAAAATAATTATAGCAAAACTGTATTAACTATACACTTAAATATTTTACAGATTTATAAAATAGTACATAATTTTATTATTTTAATGTAAATAAATAAATAAAATTTCTTTACAATTTTTTTTTTAATTTTTAAATTAATATTATAATATTACAATACTAACATTACTATTTACTATAATTGTATAGTACAATTATTTTTATTGTACCTAATATTTGAAAAACATAGCACCTACTGTGAAATATATAGTTACTATGACTTTGCCTAAATGATGATCACAACTAGATTTGTCCAAGCTAAAGTCAAATAACGATTTTTTGCCCAAATACTATGGGAATTTCGCGTTTTAACGATCATTTTTGAAGTTTGTTTGATTTAAACTTAAGTCTATAATAAATAGATATAGGTATGCGTATTAATACATGATATATTTAGGTGAGAAAGTTGATGAAAATTATTAAGTGAACGCGAAATCGTTAAGTTATACCTAAGTAGAGTGCGGATTTCTATATGCAATTGTATATTTTTTCCTTTTCACTGTTTTGGATTTTTGTCAGTTATCTTCACAAATCATAATAATTTGAATCTAATGGTAAAATTTTTTATGCACAATTCCGTATATTTAATGGTTAATGCATATTTTTGTATATTTTTACAAAATTTGAAATATATTGCATATTAAAACGAAAATTTTCATTAAGTAATTAAGTAATTAATTATTATAAATTGTTTGGTTAGTAAATTTTAAATAAATAAAATATTTTTCCTGCATATTATATAACATATTTTGATACTTTTTAGTGCAAAAAAATCTGTGCTCTAGTTAAATCGATGATTGCAAAAACGACACGAGTCACATTGTTTATGAAATTTCATGACTCATGAGTCAAAAAACTTTGAAAGTCAATAATAAAAAAAACATCATATTATTTATATACACAAATTATATTATATAATTATATTATTTTTAAATAAGAATTTTTCTCAGAATTATCTAAATTATACACTTTTTATCATTTATACAAAAGTTTTAAAAAATTGACTCATGTCGTTTCTGCAATCATTGATTCAGTTATAATTTAATATTCAGTTATAATTTAATAGTTAATAAATGATAAATTTAATTATATTTTAACTAGCTAAATTTCAATTTAATAAGAAAAAATAAAGAAATTAAATACGTTTAAAAAATGTAGGTAATCTATTTTTTAATGCATTAATATATGTGGTTCACACAAGGTTCATTTTTTAGTTTTTTAAATTATAACAAACTGCATTAGCATTACTGAATTTTTATTATAGTGTACATTGCAATGTATATAGTTACCTATATTATTTTACTCTCGGTATATGTTTATTAAATTATACGCGTTTCAAATAATAATTTAACATTTGTATACTCGTATTATTTATAAATTAAATCTCAATAAGATTCGAAATATTTTAAAATTTATACTGTAGATAGAAAATACTGATATAAATAATAAACTAAAAATGTAATGTTTGGAATTAAATCATTAAAACAAATAATTTTATGAAATAAAAAATTCATAAAACCTATAGTTTAACTAGTATAGTTTTCGGTAATATTAAGACCATAATATTTATATTGTAATTATTTATAAAACATTTACATTATAGCTATAATCAATACTAGGTCTTATGACTTATATTTCCCAGTATTATTTACATTACCAATGTTTTTTTTTTTTAAATTAGTGCTTAACCTGACACACAAAAATTGTTTAAAAAATATCAAGAGAAATATATCTATTATATCTATATAGTTACATAATTTATACACTTTATAGTTTATCCTCATCGATTTTGATAATAATTTACATAGTATGTGTAAACCAACCATAGAATTATAATGTTTTCCTGCTATATTTATATATGCTATTTCAAAATTAATATTCACCATTTTGGGTTCTGTATAAAAAAAAAAATAGTAATTAAACTCACTTATTTTCCGGTTCTTCTTTTATCTTAAACATTTTGCTAAATAAGATCGACTTAAATTTCGGCGATGCTTCTTGCTAACCCTAAAATACAAACAATGACAATTAGCAATTTGTATTTATTTATTTATTATCAAGAAGTTCTTATTTATGAAAATATTTTCTATACAGTATTTGTGGTACATCTTTAATACAATTATTATTATTACAACAATATTTCGTGTTCTATGGTTGTAAATACCTACATCGCAGTATACTCGTACACTGTCTGTCACGCAAGTATATTAGGGCACACGACGATCTTACTAAAAAAATGACGAAGAGTAAGAGAGATGGAATAAAAGGAAAAAAAGGTAGATAGTTGACAAGTTGATCGACCGACAAAAAAAAAAATAAGTCTTTAAAAATAAACTCTTTAGGCGTAGTGAGGAGTAGGAGAATCTAAATACTTTACCTACTACTCCAGACGGACAGGCACTAAAATATGCTTAACATATAAATATATATATATATATTATACATTTATATACATATAAGTAGACGGCGGTAATACAATATTTTATGTATTTATCGTGTTCGAAATTGATTCTAGTCGTGGCGCGGATACGTTAGAAGCGAACTACAAAACACGCACTTCTTTCCTAAATGAAATATCAACCTTTATATAATATATGTGTGTTTATATTTATTGTATATGTACCATAATATGTAATTACTCTTAAAACTTACTAAAGCAAAATATGGTAACAGCTGCCTAGTCTAGCGGAGACCGAAGGATTTTGTGATATTAACACCGGTAAAAAACGTTAGTACCTATGATGGATACTGTGTGCCAGTCAACAGGATGCAGGTTATGGATATATAATTATTTATTGTTTTGTTTAAAGTGGTGTGGAGGTAAAATAATTTTTTCCACGGCGTTACTGCTTATTTACTGCCCACGATCACGCGACAGCCACAAATTAATTTCAAACATGCGCAGATCCTATACACTATTTTTAATTACTAATATTTGCGAATATGAGAAATATTTATAGTCACGTGCTTTATCTGCGATATTGAACATATAAAAAAAATAATGCATATTGTGTGCGGGTGGTAGGCCTAATTATATTTATATAATTTTTAGTCACAGTGTTCAATAATATGGTTAGAGGCAAAGCTGGGTTCTAATGAGTTATAAAGTTACTTTTAACTGAGTTGCATAGCGAGTTATTTTTTTTTTTACTAGTAACCGCTATAACTTAACGAGTTTAATATTTATTCATAACATGCAATACCTTATGAGTTAATTTTTTTTATTGTCACAACAAGTACATTTTTTACCTAATATAAACCTCATTAATTTAAAATATACATATTTTTATATAAAAAAAAAAAAGAAATAATTATCGGGAATAACAAACATTATTTATAAATTGAATTTTTATATTAGGTATATTGTATTCTAAACGGGAGGCACCTATTAAATTGTATTGTTGAAGTGTTTCTCAATATTTTTGTTATTATATAAAAGTAATAAAATTTATATGTATAATTGTTAATTATTAATGTATACAAAATATGTGAAACGAATTAATAAGATATATGTATTTAATTATATTGTTAGTAATATATTATAAATTTATAAGTAATAAATAATGATTTATAACTAATTTACCCAGATCTGATACTCATCTGTATACTTCTTAAAAGTTAATAGTAATTATTATATTTCCTAATAATAAAAACTGTTTATGTGTAAGCAATAAGTATCACTTTTATGTATTAATACTTAATAATAAATAATCATGGCATAGATTTTTAGCTTACAGTTTAAATTTAAAAAAGCTTATAGTTAATGGTTATTTTATAATCATATTACACTTTTAATGTTGATATAATATATTACTGTTTACTAATATGATAAAATAAAAATGATAGTTCAATTAAATATTTTATTCTCACTATTGATAGATTAATATTTAAAGTTATACGTGTAATTAATTATATACTTATTATAAATTTTATCAATATAATATAAAAATTTAAAGATTTGTAGACAATTATGTAAAAACAGCATTAATATAATTTAAATATTTTGTTGGATTTCATCATTAATCAAAGTTTGAAAGTACCTACAGCAATTAATACATACATTTTAAATTAAAAGACCTATATTAATAACTGCTATTTGTTTAGCTTTAACTTTAAAAAAGGTATAATTCTAAATTGTATATGAAAAAAATGAAATGGTTTTAGTTAGGTTACTTTACACCTAATTAACTTGTAATTTTTAGAAATTAAAAAAAAAAAGAAAAGTAACTTTTAACTTAAAACATAAATTACATTTTTTTTGTTTAAACCTAACTTACCAAGTTGAAAAATTTTTTTAACTTATCCAGCCTTGGTGGTTATAGGTGTATGTAAGATACATGATTTAAAAAAAAAATAGTTATGTGGTGCGACACGAACACAGGCGGACCACTGTAGAACACTCACACTCTAAAAATAGATACGCTAATTTAGTAACCGAATAGGATTTTTTTTTTTATTCAGGTATTGTTAAATACCTACATATGTCCCGAGTAGACATAGTCTAGTCAATCATGCAATTGAATGATTGGTATCTGCAGTACACTGACGTGTCATATATATATATATATAATAAATTAATACACTGCACGTTTGCACTGTATTGCATATACGTGTTGGAATGCAGTGACGGATTTAAAAGAGCCTTAGATTTTTTTTTACTATAAGAATACAGTGGATTTATTATAATATATATAATATAATTAAAATGTATAGTTAGTAATAAACAAAAATATTTTAAAAATACTTTATGTACCTATTCATATACCTAAGCTTTAAAAATAATAATAATAATAATAATAATTGATCATTAACATAAGATTTTTGTTTTTTATATACTTAGAAGTTAGAATGTCTATTATAAAATTATTATATTATTTAAACCTATATCTCGTTTACATGTTAACAATATTTTAATAATTTTGATTAATTGTTCGATACATAACTAAACACGCATATAAGCTAAATAAAGTAGCAATAATATATTTTTTAGTATAGAATCTATACTGTACAGATATTTAAATTAAAAAATAACTAAACACGCATTTTAAACTTGTAGTATTTATTTTCAAAATAAATAATTTGTTTCGAAATATTTAATAGATAAACATCTACCCAAGTATCGTATAAAATAATCCATTCTTTCGTCGTCGGTTATCGGTCAAACATAAAATAGGATGGTACACATTATTAATATGCCTAATCTCCGTGATAGGCCTATGAATTATGAAACCAAAAGTAGCAGAATCAAAATAACCACTTTATTTCTCTTTTGCTATCCAAAAATTCAGGTTAAAACAAAGAACCAGTTTCTCGACGTTCGTATAATATTCATTACGAGTTTTCTCCGATCGCATACTATACGATGAGTATATTAACTAGATAGATTTTTAATTTATATAACATAATACAGTTTCCATAATTATTCACTCTTAAACATATGACGTTTATTCGTGAAATGGACAGGACGTAAAAAAAATCCTCAGGTATGTTAATGATTGAATATATTGTAATGTGAGAATAAACTAGTTTAAGTTGTAAGGTCAAATAAAGTTCGTCCACGTGCTACCTTCTAGTATAGATACCTAGATGGTTCTTAAAATTCGACCTATAACGTCTAATGTCAATAGAGGAGTCATACAGGAGTGTAAAAAAATAAAGGTATTAAACACATGATATGAGCCGACATAGCGTATTTTTGTTTGTGATAATTATAAAACTTATAATACTATACTTAATTTTTATTCCAATTGAAATATCGTATAAACGTAGAATACAACGTGTAATGCAAAAAAACGCTCGTATGCATTAACAAAAATACCCAAATAGCAAACATTTATACTGATGCCATCGGACAGATTTATTTATATGGTTGATATCCATGTAGATACACATAATACAATATAAATAGGTAACTATGTTACATCTAACCTATATATACCTACTGCATTCATTTATCACTTATAGTAATTAGCCACTTACTAAATGTTTTGAAATTAATTAAAATTAACTATTACGTTCTTAATAGTTATACACAGATTTATTATAAATATTTTTATCCAACTGACCTAAAATAATAGACCAAATAATGTTTTAACAATCGTAAATAAAAATTAATAAAACTATTATATATTTACCTATAAGCTACGATTATTGGTAATCATAAAAATCTCCATTGAAATATAATAAGTTCATTCTATTGCTATAAATTATATTTCTTATAGTCAAGTGTCTATAACTAATTATAACTTTGACTTAAACTTTATATAAATTAAAAGCTAAAGCCTCTTTTCACTTAAATTTTGGACCTCACAATAAAATCTCAACTGGTACTCAGAATTATTTCAAAGAAATTATTCTATTAAAACTAACTTTACATCTATATTTTTTATCCTGTGTTAGAAATCTTAGCATAGGCATTGTAGTGAAATTTTAAAAATCATTTATAGCAAATAAAAACAATAGTAGTTGTTCATAATATTATAGTTGTCAATTGTCATTATATTTATACAAAAAACAGTTTAATAGACAATATGTTTTTTACTAATAATATGTGATGTAGAGTGTAGACAATATAGCGTACAACTTAACTTTATAAATAATTATTTATTAATAATTCAAGTTATACCAAATAAAATATTTTATATTATATTATGAATAATATTATCTATTTTTTGGCAACATATGAATTTAAAAATAAATAATTGATACATTAAAATAAAACACTAATTAATTTTAATATGAATACTGCCTATATAAAAAAAATATGGTCAGTTTTACTATGAAGTACATTTTACTTTGAGGATTTTTGAATCAAATATATTTAAAAACTAATTATGAAACCAGTATTTTAAATGTTTCTCTATAGCTTAATATTATGATACGCTATATTATTAGATCAATCGAGATTTGTATACTTATTAAAACTTAACAAAATAAATACATAAATAAATAAATACGAGTACACCTAACAAAATCATCTTTAAATAATAACAGTATTTTCAATCGCTTACGAAATAAAAAATATGAATGATATTATAAATCATAAACAAATTGTAAAATTACCTAAATTAAACTTTAATTACGCCAAAACCTAAATATACGTTATTAAGATTATTCAAGTTATTATGTTACAATAGTAAATTGTAATTACATATATACTTAAATGATACATGATAATAATGATATGATAATTTTTAATCCTAGATAACTTCATATTATGCAAGACGTACAACTTTTTTTATTTTATTTATATGATAAAAATTTAATCGTTAAATTATGATCATCGCCAAATTTCAAAATAATGATCTGGATAATACTAAAACTGAGAATAAATTAGACAAGAAACAGACATATATAAGAATAATTGTCTGTTTTTTTATTGTCTATATAGTGTGACTTGGCAAGGCCCGACTTATTAATTATCAATATACCGATATAACGATCAGTTATCACATTTTAAAAGTTATTAGAATAAAATAGTTTATGAAAACAAATCGGACATTTACACAAAGGCTAATATCCCGTGTAAACGATGATTAGGGTTGAAAAATTCTAGCACTTGAAACATATTCGTTTGCACATTCATAAAAAAACTACAGATCTAGATACAAATTTATTTCGTGTTACAAAAAATCCAAACATGAAATTTTATATTATTATTTAGTATATTTTAAAGTAAATAGACATTTTTACTTTTTAATACAAATTTAGCATTATTTTTGCTTTATGAATCATATTCATTTTAATTTTGTGCTTTTCTTACACGTTTTTCGTCACAACATTTTATTAAAACAACAATCCGTTTTTGTATAATTCAAAAGCACCCAATCATCAATCTATGTAATTGTTTATTTTCGAATCAATATAAACCTAGTTCAATATACCTAGTTTCATTGATAAAAATATTTTTTTTTATATATAAATAGTATGAAATATACTTAATTGTACGTATTTTATTATTTAAAATGATATTTATTTTATTATTGTTTAGTTATTAAATATTGAAAAACAAATACATATACCTCAGTACCTATTTAATCAATACTTTTTTAGGAGCTGTAATTTACAAATCCTCTGTCATATTTATGATATCCCTATGATGCAACTATGCAAGTAAAATGTATAATTTAATATGCCAACTTTATTAAGTACTTGTGTCTTATATATTAGTTTTTAGCAACATGACACCTAAAATAATTTTAAAACAATTTTTTTTAAGTCGTGGTATAATTATATACTCTTAACGTTAGTAATTTATAGAAAATTTATTATCAATAATATGATTAACATAAAATTTCAATTTTAATATTTTTATTCTGTATTTATTTTATGTAAAAACCTCGTCAAACCAGATAAGACAAGACTAAATAAAACTACGTCGATAATATTGTAATAGACTAATAACTAGGAACTGGATTTTTGTACAAAAAGAAATATCGAATATAAAATCGAACTAAAAAATTCAAAAATATGCAAAAAAATTGTTATTTTGTGTTAAAAAATATATGAAATGAAAAAAAATAAAATTTAAAAAACCCGTATTTAAACGTGTATGTAACATAAAAATTTATATTAATTATTGAATGAATAAAAAAATGTACTTTTAAATAATCAAATTGAAAACTTCTACAATTGTCATGTAGCATCGCCTTGTACTTTGAAAAAACAAATATAAAATTATACACCTCCATTCGTTCTAAAGATACTTGGATATTGGGTTACTTATAATAATGAACATTTTTTACCTTTGGCTTCTTTTAAAATTTTGATAATTAAAAAAGAAAACCATGGATACACCACTCCGACGAATAACACAATCAACAACTAACATAAAAATGCTTACTATAATATTATGTTGTCTTAATCTTATGTCCAAGAAATCAGATTAAATTTATTATATATCTACCTATATCTATAAGGTAACGCTCCTATTATTCGAGTTATACGTCTATCGCTGAAATAATAAAATATTTTGTTTTATTCGGTCGAATTACATTTGTCAGAAATATCAGTACCTATGTACAAATATATCAAACGTTGAGTAAAATTTAAAATATTTTAATTAGTATTTATAAAATATAAAACGTTAATATAATATTATACGTAAAATGAACGTTAAAATAAAACGTTTATTTTATTTAATTTACACACGTTTTATGTAATTATCTAGAAATGTCCAATTATTATATATTTTGATGTAAATATGCAAAGATATACAAAAAATAATAGCAGAATCTACGTATTACAAAATGTCAAGATATTTAATCAGAATTATTGTTAGTCAAACGTATAGAAGAATACGCATTTGCATAAAACTCGGAGTCCTACAGTAATAAATAATATTAGCATTACACTAAATATGATTTAAAAATAATAAGCATTATGATTATGTATAATCATAACACATTATTTATTTCATACATTTAGTTAACTATATAAAAAATATAATTTTTAAGATTTATACATGTGTAATAATATTATGATATTTTAAATTTAACTTATGAAAATATATTTATAAACAATGAAATTGTAACAGCATAAACTGTTCTAGTGAACATTAAAAAAATCTTAACTTTTAGACATTGCGATATATATTTACTAGAAAAATGAATTTTCCAGTCAAATTTCAAATTTGTTTTGAATTTGTATGGTTACAAAAACAATATTGATAAAATTACGATACACCTATTAACTACGTTATACTAATCTAGTCACTGTAGATGCGAAAATTACAGGATTTTCAATCAATTAAGCATCATCCGAATATAAATAACATTATATATTATATTATTTATAACAGTGGGTTTTTTAAATAATATACTAAACATAACAAATAATATATTATAAAAGATTAGTTTTCATATAACACTATCCATAAATTTGTTTTAATAAACAATAAATATTTGATATAAACGAAAAGTTATTGTTGTGTTTAAATTTACATCTACCTTTAGATAAAAATATAATATGTCAGTTAAACATGATGAAATATTTAACATATTAGCATTAAAATTCAAATTAAATTAAACAAATTGTATACAATTAAAAATAAAATACACATAAAACACATTTACCATCACCACGTATCGCCATCATTCGACAGTTGTAAAATTTACTGATTAATAGAAATTATATCACATAAACGTAATCAGAAATCGTCCTTAAAATATTGATGCAAGAAACTTTAAGATGCCGACAGGTTGGTGTATTAATCAAAAATAATATATTAACGGTAGATTTTTATGTTGGACATTTTAAACTCTGTGTTAAACACATCAATATTATTAAATACCCAAAATGAATACAAATTAAATTTATCGCACGATAAAATGATACGATAATATGTATATGATACTATAATATGTCTAAAATTTGATTAGGTACAATTATATATTATATATCAATATATATAGTAAAACTGATTAATTATGGTAAGCGAATATTTGAAGCGAACCTAACAAGACACATTTTTTTATTATTTTTTTTTTTTATTTTCTATTAGAAATTAAATAAAACTTAATAAAAAATTTAGTCTCTACTATTTAATTTATTAAAACATTTTCTACGATTCTATGAAATTTATATTCATTTAAATACTGCATTACTGGTAAATTAATAAGGCCAACATTTTTATTTTTATTTTTATTTTTACCGTCATCCAAATTCGAAAAACTTTATGTGGCAAAACAATTTAAACGTAATAAATTCTTAACAAACTTAAATATATTTTACAATTGTAATTTAAGATAATAATAGCGTAATAATACAAAATTAGTTTACACAGTTGTAATAATAATTTTTTTATAGCAATTAAAATTTTTTTTCTAATAAGACAATTTGAGTTAGTAGGTTATATTTATAGTTATATATTTTATACCAACAGAGGAATTGCATGTTTTAATAACATCTATTGATAAAATTACAACTTTATGTGCATAGGAATTTTAATTTAATATTTTAATAGGGACAATTATTTTTGTTTTTAGTAAAAATGGCATTTAAATATAAAGCACATTTATTCGTTTTCCAACAAAAAAAAAAAAAACTATCTATTTTCCTAAAAATCTAAGATAATATATTTTTTAGTACCTATATAGGTGATTTGTGAATAATATTTGTAATTAAAAGCAAATAATTTTAAATAATTATTTATTAATAATTTGTTATAAAAGCATGGTTCCTTCAAATAAATTGTTTAATTTTAATTTTTATTTTTTTGTTCTTAATTTCTTTAATTGAGTATATGTGCAATGAGCTTATTTTAATTAGCTTACTTTTTAATTCGAACCAAATAATAAAATTATTCATATTATTAAATAATATGTATTTTCTGTGGTTTTCTCTATAACTCAATATAATACTATTATATAAATAAAATATTATTAGCCAGGATTTTTAGCGTATAGTTGAATAATTAATTAAATTAAATTAAAAGCAGTGGAAATATTTTGTCACAAATTAATATATAACCGTTAATAAAATAATAAAAACCATGCAAATAAAATAAATATATACCTCAATGTATTTTTTTCGCTTTTTCGTAGTTTTTTCTCAGTTCCAAAAGAATAATTTTTTTTATATCATGCAATTTTTAATCTGTAATATATATATTACACAGTGTATTTTATAAACAGTATAGTTTTTATGAATAAAAAATTATAACGAAAAAATCATTAATAACAATACTTACTAACTGAAATTTTTTGAACAATAATATTGATTAGACTTACTATAGGTACAAATATTACAACAAAAATGGAAATCAAAATCGATTTGAAAAAATTAAAAAATATATCTGTGAGTACACAACGGCACGCGTTCGAATATGAAATGCAAGACGAAATTAATCGGTACCAAGCTACTACCTAGGTATGTAAGTAAAAATCCAGTTTTTGTCTGGGCATAGACGCCCCCACTACACCATTATATACTCGTAAGTCGTAACTATTAGTATACATTGGTTCTCAGTTATATACTTGCTATATAGTATACAGTGTTATACAGGTAAAATATATTATATAATACCTGTTCCATATATTTTGAACAAAAAAAAAAAAAAGGTAATATATATATACATACTGGAAAACTAAGTATTAGGTAAAGCAAGGGGTGGTGTGCGTAACAAAAAGTCGCTGTCATGTCATTTCATGCGATGAAATAATTCAAAAGCAACACAATAATTTAACATAATATAAAATACTCTAGTAATAGAAATTAGCGACTGTGATCCCGTGGTTTTTTACATATATATATTTATTATTAATATTGTACCTACTCTAAATGATGAACATGCAATAATGTTGCTCATTGTAGTATTTTGAAAATTTATAAAATGAAAATTCTATCACTATCGTAAACCATATCGATTTTCCGCAGAAATTTTCGCTGAATCTTTACACATGCATGATGGTGGCAAAAAGCAAATGGGACATTCTTTTATGACTACCGAACAGTAACTTGGTAAGTATGAGACTTGTGCTTGGAAATCTTAGAACGCCGTCGCACTATTTTATACTGCACACATTACTATTTCATTTTATACGCACTTACAAAAAGTGAAAATGGTTAAGTTTTATTTATTTAATGTATGTCCTGCAAGTACTCGTCATGTATAGGCAATGGACAAAGCATAACCACTCATATTTTTATAGTATCATCTTATTGATTGTATGAATCTATATTAATTATGTCTAGTTAAAATTTATAATTTATCAAAACCACGTCAAAGATATAATAACATAAACATTATATTACGAAAACACTTCGTTATTACAACATTGATTTCATTGTTAAATTAATAAATATAAGTACTTAAACATTTTAGCTAGGTAAATAGTAAAGTCACTATAGTAGATTATATATTGTGTATAGTATAGTTTATAAAATTACAATGTTTGTGTCATCCACCATCTAATTGCATATCTAGGTCAAAATATCCAAGGACAAAGTATCCAACAAATAAAAAATTCAAGGCTGAAATAACCAACATATAGGATAAAATATCCAGTTTAAAATATATATATATAATAATGTTTTTGATAATTTTTTGCATAATAATATACAATCAGAATATGATTGTTAATAATATAATATAAATAGTTATAAAAATAATTTAAAAATGTACATAAACTATTTTTTTTCAATATCCCCCCTCCCAACTCTCTTTGGATAATTTTTGTTTCGTCAATTACTTGGTCGCGATATCCGTGTACATTTTTTCATAAATATTCAAATGCTTAAATAGTTGGATTATTTTTATGTTTTGCCTTTAAAAATTATGTACTTATAATGAGTAGTGAAAAAAAATTCATCCAGTATTTATAATTAGCACTTAACAATCATCAGTAAAATAAATGTTTTTTAATAATGAATAATGTAATTATTATTAATACTTCTCTACTAAAATGAATTATAAAAAAAAAAAAAATTGGATAATTTATTCTACTTATTGGTCTAACCTTGGATATTTTATCCGTTGGAAATATTGACCTTGTAATTTCAGTACAAGATAATAATTTGTCCTTGGGTATTTTATTCCAATACTCGCGTATTTATAAACAGCCTCTATGGTCGATTGCCTTTATGTTATTTCGTCATTTTTACAATGATGATCATTACGATTACTAATATATAAATATATCTGTCAACTGATAGGTATTTACGACAGGCGACAGCCTTCTCGCCAATCAATCACCAACCGCCTGTGTGTAATATACTAATATGTATATGATCCACTCATGATTAATACAGCATTGTACAAAATGTATGACTGGGATTTTAAAATTCAAAATAATGCATAAAAAGCACTTACAGATTTTATTTTAAACAAGTTTTGAACTAAAAAAATATTTTTTATTAAATTTAAAAAAAAAATTGTATATGGCTGCATAATTTCAAGTTTTCTGTGGGGAATTATAATCTAACTAAAAGAGTATTATTCTCATTTGTTTTCCTTTGTAAAATGGTTTATATTATAGAACGAACACCGCGTAGCTAGTTTTAGAAAACATGTTTTATTTACTGATTTATATCAATATTCAGTGTTCCAAAATGCCATTGGACTTGCTTGTGAGTAGCGTGTGAAACACCCAAACAACGATTTGATTGGTTTGATAAATAACATGAAAATGCATTTTAAAACAACCAACATTTAACTTCAAAAAAATAAAATAGAAGATTATACCTATTTATCTATTTATTTATTAGTTCTCACTTCTCACGTAAATAATTGTATGCAAATGCAACAATGTTAATTTAATATGTCAAACACGTGTTTACTGGTCACCTACACAAAACTTCTACAAGACTAATGACTATATACAGACCAGTGATTTTTAACTTATATTTATATGGATTCATAGGTGGACTACAAATGGATTACTCGATGGACCGCGGAGTAAATATTTTTACTCAGTTGTTATTGATGTCTAAAATTCGGAGCAAAGTATATTAATTTTTTAATGATTTTCTTGAAGATTTGAAATTGATATGTATATTATTAAATTTCATGTACCAAAATTAGCAATTACATACACTATGTCACGATGGAATTTTCAAAACATTTAAACTAATTTTATCCTATTACTTATTCATAACATGGACACAATGACACAACATTCTATAGTAAACTGAAAATAATAATACCAATACGATATAAATATTTACCATTTGATAATGCATATTTCATAGAAATTATAATGGTCGCATATGCTATCATATCATTCAATAATTTGGTTCACTTCCTTTTTAACTAAGTAATTCTCTTAACTTTAATGAATTTACCAAACTTTAGAGGGCCGTAGTTTATAATTTAGTTAATCAAAATAATTTATAGTTGTATAATTTCTAAAAAAAATAAGCATTACCAGAAACCATAAAATAAAAAGTAATTTATGTCGTTGATAAGTATATAATATCTTGTTACATTTCGTAGTGATTTTAAAGATCGTCGTGATCTGTACAAAATATATTATACACACATAGATTAGTAAAAAGAACCACAGGGGTCTTATAACAACTGGAGCTAACACCCCATACCCGGTCTGTGCATGTGCATTGGTGCAGCAACAACTACTTTCACGTAGTGTGTGTATGTGTATGTGTGTGTGTGTTTGGTGTTCGGAATGTGAGACGTTTACATGTCGTCGAAACCTCCTAAATGCGTAGATTAGTTCTAATGGAATTTATAAGAGGAATAACATTATATTATTATTGTTATTTAGATTTCAGACATTTCGGTCACCGGCAGGCGAGTACGGCACTTAAAATAGTCGTTGTTAAAAACATATACGTATATACATGTATGTATAATAAACCTACACATAGTGGGCCGACCGGGACGATAATGTACGACGTAGTTATTAAAACTATTTATAAAAACATTCTCCCCATATGTATGGTAGAGTAAGTCGTTATACACATACAATATACACTTAATATTTTATACATATATATAATCCTTATTGATCATTCAAATTATTATACCTATACAGACTTTATCATGTAGGCATATATATAATATATGTAATATACAATTTTTATAAGTGACGAGGAATTATAAAATAAGCGTTTAACTCTTTCGTAATAAAGTTTAATAAATTATTATATGTTTATGTTAATTTTACAATATACGATCTTTACTTTATTATAATATAGACTCAAAAAACACGTACACAAAGAGTGCGCAACCAGAATTCTAGATGTTGTCTATACGTAATATTTTTTAGGCCTCTACTTTATTTAGGTCCTCTCTAAATGTAAGACAAACAATGTATAGGTATTAATTTGATTTATTTTATACAATTTATAAAATTAATGTTTACCTAAAAACCACACCCGATAATAGTGTAATATAAAAACTTTAATGAAAGACATATATTCAGGAAAATCATTGAATTTGTTCATTACCAAAGGCGTAGTTAAAGGGGGCTTAACCCCCCCCCCCAAAATGCAAACGGAGCCCTCCACGTATTAGTACATGTCTATTCCTAGAAAGACTACAGTCCCCCAAAAAATCACTAAACATCTAAATCTAAATAGTCGTATATTTTTTTGTAAATAGTAGAATTGATGATTACAAAGGGTTATAGTACCCACTTTTCCCGTTATGAAAGATAATTTTAATTAGCGAGTGTAAAATCGTATACCTACGTTGGTACGTTATTTATAATAACATAGAACCATTTATTTATTAATTTTTTTTTTTATCACATATTTTAAACAAATTTATATTTATTTACTCATTATATATAAAATACAGGCTACTGACTAGAAGACTGAACTTTCAGGACCCCAATTGTTGGGAGGTCTTCTGCAGGCACACCTCGAATCGCGCTCAATTGATTCGAATTTTAATAATCTCTGTATTCGTTAGTAATTTAGTCGTCTTAGTGTGACACATTTAGTACAAGACACGTGGGCGCGCGCTCCGAAATAATAAAAAAATAAATGTTAGGTATACCGGTTTCCGATACGATCGTGCGTGATTACAATTATATTGAATCATTTATACCAATTTAATACAAATCATATTCACGAGGCGCCAACTATTTAAACTGGTTAGAGAAAGTTGAAAGAATCGTTGCATCACCGCGTCTATTTCAAAATATGAGTGTATAAAAATGAAGAAATAAAAACTATTGGTTTGATATTCGATATCGATGAACAAAGTCTTCATGAAAACATTTGGATTCTAGATATGGTTTCATAAACATAGGTTACGAGCATAA